CAGGCTCCTGAAGGTTGGTGTGGTGATGATGATGAGAATCGAAATGAAGTAGTTACGGTAGGAAGGGGCCTATGCGGTGGCTGAAGACAACAGTGAGGAGGAGAGGAAATTCTGCGCTGAAGATTTTGATGAGATCATCAGAAATCGAGCAACAACGATTGATACTGAGGGTGAGGATTTGTTATTGCTGATGGGAAGACTTCGTTCTAGATGCAGCGCAGTCGTCAGCGTGGAATGGTGTATCGAAGGCAACGTTTGGTACGTCGGAGGGAGTGGAAATGCCCAGTATGGACGACCCGGAGTTTTGGACTAAAATGGCAGAGGCTGGTGATGATGCTGGGATGAATAGTGCTGGGGTTATATGAATATCAACAGGTGGGATCGATCTTGGGCAGCAGTCGCTCGGCGAGGAGTGTGAGGAGGAAGGGGAGGCTGGAGGCTCTACTGTGGACACGCTGTGAGTTCGCGGATTGGGCATGCCTACTTGGGTAGTGTTCAACGCTCTGGTGGTCAGGCCTCGGCGTGGTAGGGGTGGGGGTATAGTGGACAGAGAGGAGTACAAACCGGAGAGCGATGGTGAGGAGGACAGTGATGATGATAAAAGGTCTGGGGGAAAAGGTGAGTCGGTTGAAGAGGAAATGTCTGGCGTTACTACTATTTGTTTTCCGTGGAGTTGAGTGCTTGCGGTGGTTTTAGTAGTAGTAGTATTAGCATTATACGTATGGCTATGTTGAGAGCACGTGTCATCTGCAGTGTCTTGATAGGTCGGCGAAAGAGGAAGGCCCGTGCGAAGGCTACGCCTAAGGTGAAGCCTGTTGCTGCTAAAGCGAAGCGGACACCGCCCTCGAGTGGTGGAAGGAGTCGGACTAAGAAGTCTACTACTACCACAAGTAGGAAGACGAAGAAGTCTGTCTCTGAATAGGTAGCATAGGCTTGAGTTCGCTCTGGTGTGGTATGGGGCTCTATTGATCATCCTGTTGGATTAGACGCCGACAAGAAGGGCACAGGGATGGGCCTACCGAAAGGGCAGCGGAGCATCGCAGACTTCTTTCTGGCTAAGCCTCGTGAAGGGCCTGGTCTCAGTGGTGGATGAAGGTGACTGCCACTGCTGAGTGATTCACCCAACGTATACACCAATATTCTGCATTGTCCTAATTTCGATATACTGCTGTAACGGCGATGATCTTGTCTCAATTACCCTTGCACTGTAGCGGTCGTCGGGTTAGTATGGAAAAGAGTGTATGGTGGTGTTGGAGTGAGATGGGATGCGAATTTCTCGGTTGCTATTACGTAGGAGTTGAACGAATGGTCACTATTTGGGCACAACTGTGACCGTTTTAGTTTGGTCAATTACCGCTCATTACTATCGAGTCGTCCGATAGATGAGTTCTGAAACTGGGAAACGCTTCTTAGTCAGAGATCGAAAACTTCCATGAATCTGGACGCACTCTGGAGGGATAAAAACCAACATTACGGTGTGTCATATTTGGAGGACCCTCGTCGCTTTTTTTTCCTGAGCTTCGAAATGGCGGATCAGTCGCAATAGCGAGATCCTGCAGAACAGATAGAAAAATTTTTGGCGACGTTACAAGGCTTTAGCTGGGATAGCTGTTGCTGGTTCTGAGAGACTCTGGGAATTTTGACTCGCGTGTGCATTGGAATCTTAGATGCCGCATCTACCGAATCGGTAGATGCCGAATCGGTAGTACCGATTCGATCGCAGAAAACGCGAAACTTCGAGGAACGAGTAGACCGAACTCATAGATGATGTTCATGATGCGATCATAGAGTGAATGACACCGTGAGTCTCACGGTTTACGGGCGCAACATCAGGGACGTTGCCCCGCCATTCGTCTTCGAGAGAGAATTCCAATGGGAGATATCGAGAGCAGGCAATGCGAGCAGGAGCGCAGATTGTGGATCAACGAAGAGTCCGGTCATGATGAAGGAAAGGCCAAACCTGTAGAAACTGCCGTGGTCAATACTGACAAGGCTGTTGGTCTCCGTTTGACTCTCCCCGTCTCCTGAGCTTCAGGAGTATGTTGGATGAGCCGCAGTGATTCTTGCTTGAGCCATTAGGTGACTTCTTGCAAGTGGACCATTAACGAGTGAGGATCGCTCTATAAGATGTTATCGCCCTGCTGGCCCAATGGATAAGGCGCCACCCTCCTAAGGTGGAGATTCCGGGTTCGATCCCCGGGTAGGGTATTTTATTTACGAACAGTTGGTTTTACCTCCTTCGAACATACCCGACCAATACTGGCAGAAACCCTGCAGCATTCGACGCGTTACTTGACGGATAGCGTATGGACCGATGCGATGGTCAAGTAAAGTGTACATCCTTGAAATCGCGCACTTGATTAGTAACTTACTAATAGTAAGAGCCTAGGAGGGCGTGAAATCCATGACTCAGAGGAATGGGAGAGGGTGGACGAGGTGGTCATTACTGAGGTGCAAGCAGCACGCTGCAGTTGACCATCTTGTCCACTAGGAGGAGGAGGTTCGCCTAGGTGGTGTGACACCACTGGTGTCCTCCAGTGCCTGGGGTCCAGTCGACACCTCTTTTGGGCGACCTCCGCATCCTACCTCCTATCCTCGTCCCGTTCCTCGGTCACGTGAGCTGCTTCCGTTAGCCTGAGTCGGCTCCACCTGTAGCTGTACGTTGTAGTTAGACGAGAGATTATCTGGTTCGTCATTTGTGAGTTTACTGAGCGAACCCAAAGCTCATAGCGATCAAGTCATCAGAAACAGGTAACAAGTAACATATAATAAGAACAGGTGTCTCAGTCTCGGCTGAAACCTTTCTTCTCCTACCAGTCGAACTTCACATCTATTGCAGATGTGCTTGCGTCCGCCATCTGCTCCCCTACGGGCACTTCAGTCTCTGTATCCTGTGCAGGATAACAAGTCGCCCCGCCGCCTCCGGTCGACGATCTGTCAGCTAGGCTGCTCGTCTGAGTACCGCTTAGAGGCGTAGTTTTCGGCGTGTTGTCGTTGACTGCCTGAACCACCGTTTGCAAGGACAGAACAGTGAGCTCCGGCGAAGATGGTTCCGATAGTGTGGTCTAAGAGGACCAGCTCGGCTTAGTATGAGTATGGCCTGACATGAGTTGAGCGAACTTGAGTTCCCTCAGGGTTCGCTGTGTGTGATCCCTCATGTACACCTTCTCTACGACCGACGTGTCCTTCCACCGCCCGTACTCGGCTATCACAGGCAAAGGCACCCCTGCATCAGCGAGTAGACCCGCCGTGGGTCACCCACGCCAGTCCTCCGCATACTATGAGAGGTTTTTCTGCCCACCTCGACGTCCGGGCTCACATTCTGGAAGACAGCACTCACCAAAAATTTTATGTCGGTTGACAGTTGGTTATATGTCGAGCCGAAGACCCTAGGACTGTGAATCACAGTCTGTGATGCCTCTGCGGTCCCTTCTGCACTAGCCGGTAAAGTTGGTGCATGGCGCAGAGTTCATCCGAACAGACGTCGTGATAACTGAGATCTTGCGAACAGCCGAGGACGACGAGTCGTCGTCGACGACGGTTCCGGTACCAGCTTGGTCGGTTAAACCGACTCGGTTTTGGACGACCGTACGTGTAGCGGCAGATAACGACCCTGGTGACCAATGTGAATGTCAGCAGGGGTGAGTGAAGCGACCTCCTTCAGCCGAAGAATGGCGAAAGTACCCGCTAAGGAGGCTATCCGTGTATCTTCCCTTCCGGAAGGCAGAACAAGCTTGAGT